AATTCCTTGCCCAGTGAAGTAGTTGACGCTACTTCAGTAAACGTTTTTAAAAAAAGTAGATATTTTTTTGAACAATAAAGGAATTAAGGGATACGGTGAGAACGCGGGTAAGTGGATCTGAGTCCACGAAAAGATCAGCCATGATATTATTGAATGGCGGAGCAGGCTCGAAGGGCCAGACGGCCTATTCCTGCTCCTAGTTCTTATGTTCTTATTCCTTTGTGGGTGTATTGCATTCAGTATTACTGTAATTTGTAGCTAGTATGTTGGATAGAAATTTGATTTCCTGCAGAAACTTGTGTATGGAATTCTAAAAATTCAGCGCACAGATTCTACATGATGATACATGCATCTATTTGTATGAAATAATTTATCATAAAATCTGTGCGGCATGTTACTACGTCAAACTTAGTCTATGCATCTAATTACGCAGAATACTGGTAATGGTTTGAAGTTTAATTTATTTGGCTTTACGTGTTAATGTGTCTCTTTTGTTTTAGGATGTTTGATGTCGGAGGTCAGAGATCAGAACGGAAGAAGTGGATACATTGCTTTGAAGGTGTAACTGCAATAATATTCTGTGTGGCTCTGAGTGATTACGATCTTGTGCTTGCTGAAGATGAGGAAATGGTTTGTATGTTTTGTGATATAGTCCACGTTCATCTAGTGAACAAATGAGCCAAGTTGTGTCTTTATAGGATTTCATAAACTGCCTGTTGAAATTATGTACATATTAAAATGTGCATTATTGCAGTTTCATAATTTGATTTACAAGAGTTGTCATGTTTCAAGGGGAATGAAATTGATAATCATAGTTAATTGAAATGAGTATTTAAAACCACATTCTGTCAAAAAAACTTGTTTATATTTCATCCTGCTGATGAGCAGCACAACCAAACTGGAACGGTTACCAACTCAATACTAAACGTAAAACTGAGTAATTTATATTGGCAGCCAGTGGAACTATATTGAGTTTAAAAATGTAATATAAAGATCAATTGTGTAATGTTGCAAAACTCTAAAAATATTTTCTTGGAACTGTACATAATATAACTGGAAAAAATCTAGCTTAAAATGGAATATATTTAATACTACTTTGTAGGTGAGGAAAGAAAGTTTTAATTTCTTCAAAAGCGTAGAATGATCCAACCAGCAATAAATTAATGAGTTGAAAGATTCTGCAAGGAGCTACTTCAATGAAGGCTATTTCTGTCTCTCAAGTGAGCCTATCAGCAATATATATGTATATCGTATATCATATATGTATATCGTATATCATATATG